CGCCTGGGGGTGGACAGGGAGGCGCCGGCTGGCCCCAGCACCCCCGGGTCCCTTCAGCCGCGGGGGGCCCCTCGCCTGCCCCACACACCACCTCCCCCTCCACCCCGGGGCCGGGACACAGGACTGTCTGCAGCGGGAGGCCAGCGGCTGCTCGGCCAGGCCGCCCGCTGGCCTCACCTGGGTCCTCCGCGGCAGGGGGCTCCTCTTCCGCCCCGGGGCTGGGCGGAGGCCCCCGGGGCTCCACCTCCTCTGACAGCACCTCCCGGCCCTGCACCCGGACTGTCACCTGGAGGTGCCGAGAGTCAGCGCGGACGCAGCCAGGGCTTCCGCCGCCCTCGAGGGGCCCCAGGACCCAGCTGGGCAGGTCCTGGCGGCTGGGGCGCCTGCAGCTGTCTCTGTGCTTCCCCACCCTGCACCCCACCCCAAGGTCCCGGCTCCGGGGACCCGGGGCTGGGCCAACGAGACTGGCCCCGGGGCCATCTCCCTTTGCTCGAGGTCAGCTGCAGGTGACCACTTCCGGGGCCCAGGCGGCGGCCCCCGGGGTGAGGCCCAGCTGGAGGTGGGTGCTGCTGTCAGCGGGGCTCAGGGCCCGACTCACCCATCTCCGGGGCCCTCCTGGCTCGCGCCGCAGCCCCTCCACCAGGGCAGCGGCCTCCTCGGGGCTGCCCGGCCGCTGGCCCTGCACCCAGGCCCGGATCTCGGGGGGCAGCGCGCCCAGGAACTGCTCCAGCACCAGCAGCTCCAGCATCTGCCCTGCCTGAGGGTTCGGCCTTCAGACCGCAGGCGCCAGGGCCGTGCCGCGCCAGGCGGGGGTGGGGGCGCCGGAGCTGAGGGCTGCGCCGGGAGGCTGGTTCACGCCGGGGTCCGCGCGGCTGGCACTGGCCAGCGGGCCCCATGGGGAACCGGCCCACGGAGTGCGCCCGGGAGCTCCCGGTGAGAATGTGCGGTGGTGTGCGGGACCCCGCGTGTGGGGGGCCGCCCTGGAGGCTGGCGGGGCGCGGCCCAGGGGCGGTCAGTACATCAGGAACGGCAGGCGGCCAGCGCAGCCACCAGCCACACCCCGGGGCCGCGGAGGGGAGGGAGAGGGCGGGCGGCCGCGAGGACACCTGGGAAACGGGCCTCCGTGAGGGGTGGCTGGGCGCTGAGGCCGCGGCATGGGGCCCCCCGAGTCTTGCCCCTCCTCAGGGGACGACAAGCGGCAACCTGCAGAGGCTGGGCAGGACCTCGGGGCGGCCGGAGAGGGCAGGTGTCAGGCCCGCGAGGCCCCCAATGTGCCTGGGGGGAGTGGGCAGCCGGCTGGGCCGGGCCGCAGCACAGGGCCGGGACCTGCCCGCCCTGCTCCCCCCACCCCGCGCCC